TGTAGCTAAATTATTTGACTTTTTAGTATCTCTTTCTAAATTAAAAATGAAAGTTTCCATCGGTCAGTATACGAGAGAAAACAAAATGTCAAAGATCAAAGTTTGAAACACCCCGTGGAATATGTTAAGACAGGAAAAAAAAAATTACTTTATCATCTAGGTACACCCTTTCTCGATAATTTGTTTTTTCGTTCATCTCAATAGCTTTAGTTTTGTTGAAGATATTCGCTTTTAAGAAGACACTAAATTTTTTTCGTAATTTTTACATTAAACCCATGCGTTTTCTTTTGGTCCTAGTCAAAAGCCCTAGTAAGTGGTGGGCCCGAAGCAGGCCTTCTTGACATAATATTTGCTTTGCTTCATCTTCTTACAATCCGTTCGCTTATATGTACGCTCCTTAGGCGCAATTCATTATGAATTTGAATAGCTGCAAACGGCGGTTTCTTAACGATAAACTTACACATACACTTACGTCTCGATTCGAAATTCTCATAGGAAGGTTCCTGGACCATTCCTTTTTTAACATATTCCACAGGGTGTTCCAAACTTTCACCAAAATAACAACATTTTGTGTTCCCTCCTCATTTTTAATTTAAAAAGAGATATAATACTAAAAAGATCATCAAAATCGGTCCACAGAACTCAATATATGAAACTTTAAAATACATCAAAATTTTAAGGTGCCCGGGGCGAAAAACGGGGCACCACCGGTGGGGGGCATAATGGGGGAGGGGAGTTTCAAGCCGAATCTCACCAAATCTCACTTAGAGGAGAGAGGAGTTTCGGCAAACATCCTGTGATATTTTTCGGACAAATTTCTAATACAGTGTGGCGCTTCTCATACGCCGCGGAAGCTCTAAGGAAAACGGCAGTTTATATCGAAATAAAATTTTGGCAGCATATGTAGGTTAACTGAAAAAATAGTAGGTTAAAATAGGGTAAAATATGTAAGTTAACTGAAAAGTTAACTGGATAAAATATATAGAATTATACAGGGTGTCCCCAAAAAAGTTACACATCAAAGTTGTGTTTTTTCTAATGGAACACCCTATATATTAATTGATGTCCGGATTCTAGGAAAAAATAAAGGTGAGTTTTATTAAAGAAGCATATACCTAAAATCTAAGGATTTTTACATATTTCACATTTACTCAAAATGAAGAGTAAATTTTGAATTTCGATAACAGCTACCTAAATTTTAGTTGACCTTGTATCGTCTGATATTATTTATATACAGGGTCCGGCAATAGTGCGTCGGGCATCTGTAGCTCCTAGAATAAAAAACTTGAGAATCTTGTTTAAGTGCGAACCTAAAGTATGTGCCAGGATGTATTTCAAGAAAATATTTTAACTTCTATAGGGTGGCTCAAAAAAGTATGAGTGGACCTTGATGATTTTTTTTAAATGGAATACCCTGTATATTATTGCATTTTGGCTTCCTTTCAGATCACTTTACATAACCTAAGATATGAATAAATATATTTTTGATAGTTTCAGAGATATTAAAAATAAATAAAAATATGTATTTTTCAGCTCTTCTTAAAAAATTATTAAAACACAAGAACTGTCCTGAAATCAAACTATATTAGGTATTTACTTTAGATGGTCTGTATTTACTTTGCTATAAATATGAAAATCGTAAATTATACAGAATGTTCAAAATTCTGCGCCAAACTTTCTAAAATATAAAATAATTTTTCCTCGTTTTTTTAACTGGAACACTTTGTATATTATTTTTTCAATAGACGGAGACTTAAAAAATGAACATTTTTTGTATTTAAAGTATTTCAAAATTTTTAACGGTTTTGCAGATATTTGCGGTTTTATATTTCATATGGCATTTTCCACAGTAAATTTTTATCAAAGCCACCCAATGATTTTTCTCTCGTATTTTACCATTGAAAGCGCCATATGAAATAATACTGCGCGTATCTACGAAACCGTTCAAAATTTTGAAATACTCTAAATACAAAAAATGTTTATTTTTTAACTATCCATCTAATAAAAAAATAATATACAGGGTGTTCCATTTAAAATAACAAAGAAAAATTATTTTATATTTTAGAAAGTTTGGCGTAGAATGTTGAACATCCTGTATGATATACGATTACTATATTTATAACAATGTAAGCACAGACTATCTAAAGTAAATACCTAATATAGTTTTGATTTGAGAACAGTTCCTGTATTTTTAATAATTTTTTTAAGAAGGGCTGAAAAATACATATTTTTTATTTATTTTTTAATATCTCTGAAACTATCGAAATATATTTATTCATATCTTAGAGTTATGTAAAGTGATCTGAAAGGAAGCCAAAAATGCAATTATATACAGGGTGTTCCATTTAAAAAAAGTCATCCAGGTCCACTCACACTTTTTTGAGCCACCCTATAAAAGTTAAAATATTTTCCTGAAATACATCCTGGTACATACTTTAGGTTTGCACTTAAACAAAATTCTTAAGTTTTTTATTCTAGGAGCTACAGATGCCCGACGCACTATTGCCGGACCCTGTATATAGCCTAATTACAGTAACCATTGTTTGTTAAACCAAATTGAAATTTGACTCGAAAAGTTATACAGGGTGAGACACAATTAATCGAGCAATTAATATGGAACATAACTAGTTCTTAAAGTTGGACTAATTAGACAGCTATGTTGAAGTAACGTCAGACATATCACAGCCACCTAGATTTTATCAAATAATAAAGATTTACTCAAAAATCAAATCATGTAAATGAAAATATATAGGAAAATCTTTGAGGGGTATGGCAACCTTAATAGTATTTTGAAGAGACATGAATTCACCATTGAATATCGAAATAATATACTGGGTGTTCAATTTAAAATAAAAGAGTAACATGCTTTAAGGTGACCAATGTTCAATATTAATCTTGTCTCACCCTGTATAACTTTTTGGATCAAGTTTTAATTTGATTTAAAGTACAATAGTTAATTTAACTACACATTAGGCTATACCGGGCAAATTTCAATTTAGTTAGCTTTTATTGTAATTTAAAAATTGTTTTTTATTTCTAGAAAATGTTAAATATGTCAAAAACCTTACATTTTAGTCATATAGTTCCCTTATAAAACTCACCTCTCTTTTTCTCCCAGAATCCGAAAATCAATTAATATATAGATTGTTTTATTACAAAAAAACACAACTTTGATATGTAACTTTTTTTGGGGACATCCTGTAAAACTCTCTATATTTTTAAAAAGTGCTCTGAATTAACCTACATATGCTTACAAAATTTCATTTCAATACAAACTGTCGTTCTCCTTGGAGCCTCTGCTGCGTATCAGAGGCGCCACCCTGTATATAAAATTCTCATGTCACAGTTTCAGTTACCATACTCCTCCATAACGGCTTGAACGATTTTGATGAAATTTTACATGTATATTCCTTAGGTATATTCAGTAGCTCTGAGTGGTCCACACCATTTTTTTATTTTTAAGCATTTTTTTTTTGATGTGACATTAAGAAATATATACAACCCCAAATTTTCACCCTTCTACCATCAACCCCTATTTTTTAATAGCGATATTAATTATTCAATAATTTTCAACCTCGTGAATAAAAATTACTGTTGTCCCATAAAAACATTTATATGGCAAAACAACGTTTGATTTGAAAACCAGATTAATTTAAAGTACATCTTTTAAGTACCTACCAATAGTCACTCTTGAGATCGTGCAGAGTCTCTATGGACTGAAATAGAACAAATGTTCCCTATTAATTTTAGTAGTTCCACACATAAGTACTATTGTGAATAGCTTCGTAGAGCTATAAGTTATAGCGACCTTCAAGAAATTATTATAATGCTTTTCCTTTTTGTTTATTCTGTAGTAACCCATTACTAAATCATACGCATTATTGCACGATACAAAAAATAACATGTGTAATTATATGTTTTCTTTGATGTAGTTTTTGTTGTTCAATGAAAAAAATAAACGATTATTTAATTAATTAATTCTAGAAAATGTAAAAAAATATATATGTATACTTATTTATGCAAAAGAAGAATGGTTATAGCGGAATATTAGTATTAGTTCCGTGTTTACATTACTGAGTCTACAGGGTTGCTTCTAAAACTATGGTAGTTTTATATTTAATAAATTTATTTATTAAATAATTTATTTAATATAAAATAAATTTATTTTAAAATTACTGAAATTAACAAAACGTTTTTCATTCCACTTTTTAATATATTTTCCAAATGTTAATATAAATTTTCTTGTATTTTCAATTGGTCGATTTTCTTATCACCTATATTATTAATTTATTGTAGGTATAGATGAGACTAAAACCACTTAAAATACAAAGGATTATTTTCAGAATAATCTGATTAGTAAATCTCGCTCAGAATTTCTGTTGATGATGCTAACATGGCTAGCAAAACGCGCGTTCAGCGCAAGAATAGAGTGTTTTGGTGTGTTATGGTGAATTAGTGTTTTATTTTGCTGTTGTAACACCAAAGGTTCCAACACTCAACTGCCGGCCTGACTGTTCTAAAAAAAGATGCTGTTAATTAAAAATTTATCACAAAATTATATAAAAAATTTGACCTAAACCTTTTATAAAAAAAAATAAATATTTTAAAAGTTTTAAGTTTTTTTTAGTGACTTGAGTCTTTTTCTATATTTGAATAAAGATTTAAATCACACCTCGTTTTGAGCTCTTTTTTCAGCTCTGCAAAATTGACTTAAAATTCAATAACTTAAGTGATTTAAATTAAGTTATTTAAATAAAAAATTACTTAAGTTTTCTGTCAGCTTGCACCTCTCCGCACTCATCATATATAACAAATGCTATCTTTATCGATTTTTACAAATAATGCTTGCTGCTAATTTTTCCCATCAAACTATTTCGTTTGACCCTAAAGAGCAGTACTAACCCATTGCTGCTATAGTTATTTAAATTACCTGCGTTGACCTTTGCAATACCAACGTGTTTACCATTCACAAATTAAGGTAATTTTTATTTCCTTTGTAGTTTTTCGAGATTGGAGGCGGAGGTACGACAAAGTACGATACAATGGACGGAAGATCAAGATAAAGTGCTCCAGAACCAGTCAGGGATTCAGAAAAATTCTACGTGATTATTTCTTCATCGGTTAGTTAATAAATAGAGAGTTCGGTCAGTTTAGTTTTTTGCTTTCTGAAAATGGACGCCTGCTAGAAATTTGGATTATAACAAGGGAAATATTTAATTAGGTATGTAGAAATTTTTTCAATTAGTAGATTGAGTGAAGCTTCATTCGAAACCTCGAAATTATAGAGTTGTTTTACAATTACAATGTTTAAATAAATACAATTATAATTAATAGAATATCCTAGCAACAGCTTGCGGTAATCAGTTGTATCTATAGAGAAAGCCTAATAATTAGCTTATTAAACAATAAACCTTTCATTGCAAACCATAATTTCTCTTGGCGGATGAAAAGCAAATGCCTATAAATGACATACTCGCAAATTTTGAAGTTTAATTAGTTTAGCAAAAGTAAAAAAAATGTGTTAACTTTTTCTACTAGTTGAAAATGATTGCCACTAATTTTGATGTTCTGAATGCTTACATTGAAATTAGAGATACAAACTTCTACGTTAAATGAAACCACTAATTTATTCCACTAATTTCGAAGCTCTAAATGAAACTTAATTGAAAATTACTACCACTTATTTTGACCATTTGAATGCTTACATTGAAATTAGAGGAATAAACTCCTAAGTTAATTAAAACCATTAATTTAGTCCACTAATTTCGAAGCTCTAAATGAAACTTAATTGAAAATTACTACCACTTATTTTCACTTTCTGAATGCTTACATTGAAATTAGAGGCATACAATCCTAAGTTAATTAAAACCACTAATTTATTCCACTAATTTCGAGATTCTGAATGAATCTTAATTGAAAATTACTACCATTTATTTTGACCATTTGAATGCTTACATTGAAATTAGAGGAATAAACTCCCAAGTTAATTAAAACCACTAATTTAGTCCACTAATTTCGAGGTTTTGAATGGGGCTTAATTGAAAATTGCTGCCACTAATTTTGACGTTCTGAATTCTTACATTGAAATTATAGATACAAACTTCTACGTTAACTGAAACCACTAATTTTGATTAAACTTAATTGAAAATTACTACTACTTATTTTCACTTTCTGAATGCTTACATTGAAATTAGAGGCATACAATCCTGAGTTAACTGAAACCACTAATTTATTACACTAATTTCGAAGCTCTAAATGAAGCTTATTTGAAAATTACTACCACTTATTTTGACTTTCTGAATGCTTACATTGAAATTAGAGGAATAAACCCCTAAGTTAATTGAAACCATTAATTTATTCCACTAATTTCGAAGTTCTGAGTAACTTTCTGAACGCTTACATTGAAATTAGAGAAACATGCTTCTACGTCAATTCAAACCAGTAATTTATTCCACTAATTTTGAGATTCTGAAAGAAGCTTAAGGGTTTAAATCCTTAATCATTTTTGACTTTTGTTTGCAAATTTTTATAAGTTTCATAAACATCTGCCTGAGAATGAATATTTTTTTATTATATCAAACAAATACTTTTTCATTTGTTTTTGTTGTGTTCATGTGTTTTATATTTAGATTTTTGAATCTTCGGACTTTAAGAGCAATATTTTCATTCTTCGAAGTAATTTTAAGATACACGATATTTAACTCATTATTTTTTAGCTTCACTTTTTTATCACTTTATTTAACTTTTTGGCATATTTTTGCTTTAAATTTTTATCTATTTTAGTTATAAGTTAGTTATAAGAATAAATATATAGGTAGCCTTGGAAATTCGCACATTTTAATAATAAAAGTTTTTATTGAAATAAACTAATCTTTATAAAAATTAATACGACGGATTTCTTAATTAGTGATTATCAGAACTGCCGATAACCTCTGTTAGTCTGTTCGGTAGGCATTCTTCTAATGTCACGGTTAACTACCATCATTTTATTGATTCAAATTGAAGGTTAATGTTAAGGCTAATATGTCGGTAATAAATTAGTTTTAACTAATTTATTACTAATTACTTACCAAACTAACATTTGTTGATAAGTTAATATTGTATTAAATAAACTGTTTATGAATTGACGGTCGGTAGTTGTCAATTGAGTTCAGTTTTGTGTCAAAAAACGCCTTTTGCACGAATTCGGCACACTTTCGAGTACGTTTCCATTAAAATGGAGGTAATATTAAAAAAAGCTGAAGAAGCACTACAAGCGGTACTTCCACCAAAAAATTAAAACCATTTAGCAAAAGGAAAAAAAATGGCTTCGGTGGATGAGACAGAAAAATATTGTAGCAGGAGATGTCGATGAAACTGTCTATACCTATGTGGCGGATTCATCTCTCCAAAAAAATCCTTTATGGGTATTTCGCCACTGCACTGCAAGAAAATACTGCTTGTCAGAAGTTATGTTTACAGTTATAAAAATTTGCCTAACAAAGAAAAAAATGCTTAACGTTTCGGAAAGTTTATCTCTTTCCGTCTTCAGAAGCAAAAAAAAAATCAAAGCATAAAGAAAAAAACTATTTAAAATATTTAAATTCAACTATTCGAGAACACTTTACTTTTTTAAAACAGATACGTCTACAAGAAACCGTTGACGTTCTGTTAAAATGACATTATATCAAGTTAAACTTCAAAATTAACAATTACTATACTACCTGATAACAATTACTTAATAAGGTAAAACCAAAAAGCCCAAACTGTCTGTATGATTATTTTTAAATTTTACGTATGTTATGTTTATTTATGTTATGTTCTTTAAAATCAAAGAAGCGATTGCCATACACTAACCGAAATAATAATATATAATCAAAGAAGCGATAGCCTCTAAAAGAAAAATAAAAGAGGCTTTTTTAATTCAGTCTAATAAAAATAAATGTATTGCTCATGCATCTGTAGATGTTGGTACAATCGCTTTGTATGGCAATCCACCCGATTTCCTCTTACCGTCTGCAAGCTCACCGTAAAGGAGAGATTTCGGTAGGCAGTTTTCTTGCATCAAATCTAGTATTATAGATACTGCTCCATCTCGTATTTTAGTGATAGCTAGTGGCAATATGACATGGCCAGATATAGTTTTACATTGCGTGACGTTTAAAGGCTTAGGCTACTGGTTAAAAAAAAAACAAAAAAATATACCCTTTAAAACTAAATCTTAAATAACTTAAAAACCATTTATTTTAGGTATAGGAATATGTATAATCAAATAGTAACGAATTAAAAAACCTTTTTACTAGTGAAATAAAAAAAGTGGGTTTCCATTTAAAAAAAAATGATTTATGATAATTTTTTGACATTCAAACAATTTAATTTTTGAAATAGATAGCCACATGTCTTCTCTTTATGGCACAGTGGCTGTGGTAATCACTAAATTTGACGTTTAAGCTATATAGGTACATATTTTTGACAGGCAGTTCTTTTCGTCCACAAATTTTAAATATTTTTTTTCTCAAAATCAAAGTTCTAATTCAAAGTGAGGTTAATGTTAGGTATAGAGTGTTTAATATCAAAATTCATAAAATTTTACAGGGAATTTAAGTATGTAATAAAAAAGGGAGACACCCATTTGAAATAAGAAAGTTGTTGTCAACTTCCGGTATTTTGGAAAATGCCGCCATATTGAAAATATTTTTAATCCATAGATCTCGTGAAAAAATGATTTGCAAAAAATCTTCGATCTAGATGTTGTAGTTCTCTAGAAACTTCTAATGCACGCTCAGCTTGGGACACCCTGTATAAGGTACACAATGTATTTGAATATATAAGGAAAATATTTTACCAGTTACAGTTGAATTAGTTTCACAGTTAATGTGTTGAATATACGATGTCTATACAGACATCTCTAATACAGATAGTCTCTACGATGCTATAGCTCTACTTAACCGACGCATTTTCGAAAGTTTTCACTTTTGGTGCATTCCTGGAAAGTGAATGTTTTTGGTTTATATTTTGTTGATTCCGGGGCTATTATTTGCGTCCTATAAAAGTTCATAAATAAATTTATAGTTTCTTTTTTGCGACGTCTGGATTTTCTCCGGATTTCAGGGTTCATTTGTTCGGATTTCTGAGTTCACTTGTCCGGAATTTCCAAAAGCCTTTATGGAAACCCTAGCCTTTGACATAAACAAAAACACTTCTTTTTATTACCAAATGTCCTTATTTCAGCCGAGGTTTTCCCAAAGTATCTTTTCAAAATTCCCTTCTTTAATCAGCAAACTTTATAACAGGCCACGAAACTTGGACTGCAGATTTGAAAACATTTTGAAATTGTATGTTTTCTCGATTTCCTAAATGATAAACAATGACCAATTCGTTGTTATCTCGAAATTAGTTGAACTATAAATCGAGGAGAGAGCAAAAAGGAGATTCAGTATTTGTAATTCGTGACGACTTGAAGAAATAGTTTTATAACAAATTATTGAGTGCATAATTTTGAATGATTAAAGTGTAATAACGTGCGTAATTGAAATCAGTGTTTCAGACAATATTTTTATTTGTTTAATGTTTATAGTTGATGTTTTAAAAAAGTAAGTCTCTGAACTACATTATAGGAAAGATCACCATAAATCAGATTAAGGTCTTCATCTATCAGTTAGCTTTAGAGCTTTTCTTTCTAAATATATCATGCCATCATCAAAAAAACGTTGTGACAGTAACCTTTCATATATAGAGAGAATGTTTACAGATACAAAAATCTTACAGATGTTAATACATATACAAAAATCTATCTCCAAAAATTTCTCGCAAAAAAAATTGGATTTTTTTTAGTTTTTAGTTATAAACCATAATTTTATAATAATATTGGAACATAGGTAGTACATTAAATTTACAAGAAAAAAAAAACAGATCCAGAAAAGATCCAGTGGTTTTCAAAATGTAAGCAAAAAATCATTTTTTGGAAATTTTAAAAGTAAAATAACTCGATTATTTTGAACTTACGGGAAAAACGGTAAAGAGAAAATATGTTTCTTTTATCGAGATCTACCAGCCCTGAAAATGTTTGCACTTATTAGAAGACTCACCCTGTATATATAGGGTTGTTCGAACTGTAATCCGGAAACTTCAGCAACATATTTTACAGATAAAAATAAGTAAAAAAATCGTATAAATGTATGTCCTAAAATGCTTAGGTTCGGAGATACAGGGTGTAGAAGTTTCATTTTTATTTCAATTTTT